TCTCTCTCTCTCTCCCTGCCGCTGTCCAATGCAGATGGATGCGCAAAAACTGACATTCAGAAAGACAGCAAGAGGGAGAGAGAGAGAGAGAGAGAGAGAGAGAGAGAGAGAGAGAGGAAAAAAAAGAAACAGAAACAGAAGGGAAAACAGGTTGTGGGTGTGACAGCAAAATATGACAAAGCATCTCACACCTTCGTCAGCCATTTTGTCCGATCGCTGTCTGCTCGCCAAAGACCACTTTCACAACCACTGCCCTGCCGACTCTCCGAGAACACCAGAAGACCGTTTTCACAACCACTGTCCTGGCCACTCTCCGAGAGGATCGGTGTATGGCCACCTTGCCACACGTAGCCGAGCGCAGCTGCCCTTCCAAAATACTTCTCCTTCCAAAACACTTTTCTCACCATCACCTCCCTTCCCGCCCTCCTATCATTTAACCTGACGACACATCGGCGACCGGTCTCCGCAATCGCTCTCTGCTCAGCAAAGAGTGCTTTCACAACCCTTCCCTGCCCAGTGTCCCACAGCGGCGCTATATGGCCGCGTAGGCACACCTCGATGGGTGCAAAACTCTTCTGTCGTCCGCTTCGGTCCTTCCGCCTGCGTCATTTCGCGTTGACGTCACCGCACGTCGCTGACCGTCTTCCCACCCTCACATCCTTTCCACTGCCATCCGCTTCGGTCCTCGCACCTCCGCCCGTTCCCGTCATTTCACGTCACCGCGCGTCGCTCACCGTTTTCCCACCGTGCCCTCCTTTCCGCTACCTCCTTTGGGACGCGCACGACGATCCAGGTCCGTGACTGCCTCCTCATTGCCCTATGTGCCGGCATTTCTCCGGCCCTCGTCCCGCACTGAGCCACTCGGTTTCTGTCGGTCCCCATGCGAGGACCGCTGTTGGCTTTAGTAGTATAAGGACAAAAGAAGACAGGCGGAGCGCGTCATAAAATTTACGTAGATGCCGGGATATCTGCTGCAAATCAGGTCTAGCGTCTCACAGCCTCACTCACACACTGGTCAGGGCCAGAAGGTTGAACTTCAAGACAGTTCAGGGCCATTAGAAAAACACCCTTTGACTACACCATCTCATCCAAACGCCCCCTGTCCTCTTGGCCAACCACTCTGTCGAAAAGCAGTGATTTTGAGACTTGAGTGTTATCCACAGGCCCAGCTTTCTGAAGCCTGTTGAGGAGTGTAACCATCCATGGCTTAAAAAATTCAAAACCTTGAGCGCAAGCAGTGAATCAATGCCAGGGATCTTTACTTGAATATAGATTATGGTTCTGTTGCCCAGAAAGGAGGAGAAGAAAGCTCTCGGTTTGCACATCTGATGATGGGAAGAAAACTCTCTGTTTGCTCATCTGTGAGATCGGGATGAGCTGAGGTCTCCGCCAACTCTCTCTCTCTCTCTCTCTCTCTCTCTCTCTCTCTCTCTCTCTCTCTCTCGCTCTCGCTCTTGCTCTGTGTGTGTGTGTGTGTGTGTGGCAACAAGGGCACACAACGATGTGCGTGTGGAGAACTGCCACCTGCCCAGGGTAGCCTGCGCATTCGAATTTGAATGGCCAGTGTACACTAGGTGGGCGGTTGATCTCTGAGAAAACATCGGCGGCCTTCATTGTTTTTAGTGCGCAGCCTGGGACTATAGGCCGGTCGGAGGGGGGCTACGGGGTCAATGCATGCTGCTTTGGCATTTTGCGCTTGGTGGCCCAGTGACCCGTTGGGCGAGCAGCCTGGCCAAGCGACCCAGGTGGATTCCCGGCAGGTCTGAGCCATCCTGCGCTGCCCGGATGGTAGCCCAAATCATAATCGGTTTATCAACTTTATCTTTAACAGTTATGAGTTTTAACTTTTCCTTCAACTTTTCACCTTTCTTTGTTTTTCAATGGAAGTTACAATTTTTTTGAGAAAACTTCGAAAAGCTTCGCCATATGTCATCTTACCTGACTTTGGAGACCTCTGTTTGATGTCGTTTGCTTTGCTGTGTCCCTAGACTCCCTACCCTTTTTTCTATACTCTACCATTTTTTGAATCGTGAAATCATGAATGAAAAACTGCACCGAAATACGGAGTCCACTCAGCCGATGCTGCTGCGCCTCATTTTGTTGTCTTCTGACGAACAAAACAGGGCGTTGTGGTCCTCGGACTCGTGCCTCCATTCTATTGACGGCAGTTGCGCCTTCTTTAGTTCCTGTTATCTGCCGAATTGGCATTTAGCTCCTCTTTTCTTTTCTCAATTAAATCACCCTTCCTTTTCTCTGACCGCCCAGGTTACTACAGGGCCTTCAATGTCTCAGGTGCTCCATTCGATGACCAATCCCACAGCCACAGTTCACTCTATCATCCGCGGAAAGTGGACCAAGCACAGAGGCTGGTCAAGAAAAGGGAGAGGTGGTTTATACTAACCATAGTTCTGTAAGCCAGTCCTGTTCCACATGTTGAACTGTCTGAAAAAAGCTTTGGAACCCCTTGTCTTCGAGTTTTTCGGTACTTTTTCCTTTTGGGGGGTTATTTTTGGAAAGTTGCTCCGGCCTACTGGCCGGGACTGGCATCTGCTGGATGCTGGGTCCATCATCCCCTATACCAAGAGTGAGTAGATGATGATGGAGAAATGCACAGAGGGAGAG